CAAATATGCCTTGGACAATCTCCACTTCCTTGCCTTGTCTCAACTCCTCCACTACATGTAAGTTGTCAATTCTTCAATTAAAGTGTTAGGAAGACAGAAACCACTGTCTTCAGCTGCCACAATAATCTCCTTTCTTTGTCAATAATTCCACCCTGATCTCAGATCATTGTCAGAAGCAGAACTAGATTGTCTACAACTTCAGCAACCTATATCACTGGGGCCTGGACTTCCAACCCCCTTATATCTCTATTTTAAGAATTCTTGGTTTCACCCTAGCAAGATTGATCATCTCTATCCACCTCAGCTCCTGAAAAGCACATCCATGCTTTGCTTGCCTTCAAGCTCAATTATTCCAATTCTGTTATTGGCAACCTTCTGTTGGATGTGTACCTTGCCTTTAAGAGAGTCCACCTTCAAGGACTCCATGTACTGCAGATGTCCAATGTTGTGAATAGGATTCTTGTGGTGCAGTGCTGGTTCCCTCTAGGCCATTTGTGCAGCTGGCATTTTGTGAATGGCAATCAGTGTGCCAATGCAGATTACAGAGCTGACTTCTGGCTCTGGAAGCGGCTGCCACACTCGCACCCGAGGGTCTGTGTGAAGGAAAAAAAAATGTAAAGAGAACAGTGTCCCTACATTTGAGCTGGAAAGCACAGGTTTAAGTCCCACCTCTCCAAAGGTGTCTTAACGCATCTGAATAGGTTGATTAAAAATATCTACAATGCCGCGACTCTGGGTAGCTGTGGGTCTGCAAGTTACACACACCATATACATCAGACGATTTTCTGTAATGTCTACCTCATAACTTGTGATGTGGTTTACTTCTTTAATTAAACTAACCCTGAGAGTTAATCAATCCCTGGTAAGTGATTGTTACAGCATTTCCACGATACCGTAAATCTTCACCTTCAGTAAACATGACATTATCCACAATCTGCTGCCTCTATCCGAACTCAGAAGTCCCATTTTCCAATTACTCAAGACATGGGCTCCCAATCAAACAAAGCCTCAAATGTGTAAATCTTCTCAAATCAGAGAATCCCTACAGTGTGGAAGCGGGCCATTTGGCCCATCGAGTCCACATCGACCTACTGAACACCATCCCATCCAGACCCAACCCGCTATCCTATCCCTGTAACCCTGCATTTCCCATGGCTAATCCACCCAGCCAGTACATCGTTGGACTGTGGGAGGAAACCGGGGCACCCAGAGGAAACCCGCACACACATGGGGAAAATGTGCAAACTCCACACAGACAGTCACTCAAGGGTGGACTCGAACCTGGGTCCCTGGTGCTAAGACAGCAGTGCAAACCACTGAGCCACCGTGCCGCCCACTCTATATCCTGCTATTCAAATTCCTCCTTGGTCATGCCACTCCCTTTCTCAGCAACTTCTTGCAGGCCTATAATCCTCCAAGAGTTCAGCTTTCTTTTGCATTCCTATTTTCTTTGCCTTACCATGAGCAACTGTGCCCTCAAGATGTTCAGCTCTGAAATTCACACCCGAAACCTCTGCACCGTTATCACTTTCTTTAAAGATGCTCCTTAAAACACGATCTTCGACCAAGCTTTATAGTTATCTATTCTAATACTGCCTCATTCATCGTCACGTTCATCAGTTCACATTCGAGTAAAACACCTTAAAAAATTTACACCATGTTAAAGCCTCTAATATAAACAAAAGCTGTGGCTGATCTTCCCAACCCTTGCAAAGAATGTGCATTACCCTAGAAAAATAGAGTGGAAACTCTGCAATAGCTATTTCTGAGTGAATCCAACACAGCTTTTAGAAATGTTCTGTCAAAGATCAGAAAATGAGGTTCAAATTTGACTGTCTTTATTTAGTGATGCTGTATCTGGGACAGTCATGCAAAATAACATGGAATCTGTTGTCTTAATCACCTAACTATGTAGTCTCCAGTGTGCACGTACTGGCAGCAAGAGCCTCTATAAGCAGCTGTAATAAAACGCTTGCTTTGAAAATCTTGGCACTGAATATACAACCAATTTAACACTTCCTCTCAGATTAATCCTGGCCTCATGTATCTGCAATGTGGCTCAACCCAACACTGACAGCTGTGCTTTCAACTATCTAAGCCTGGACTCTGAAATTCACATCATCAACATCTCCATCCCGAATTTTGGCTGGTCAGCTATTCAATGGGAAAAGGGTCCGGGTGCAGTAAGTGACTATAATTGATAAGATAAGCTTGGAGAGGGCGAGCGGAATTTTGAAAAGAAGATAGATATGGGTTTAGGGCTAGGACAAGAATAAGTTTTAGAGGAGGTTTGACCTGTGGGCTAATGGAAGGAAGTGATGCAGCAGAAACCGACTATTGCATGGTCTTAATGTTAGTAACCAACACGTCCCTGAGCTCGTCAGAATTCTTGTTGAAAATGAAGATGGAGAGGTCAGGGGAGGGAAGTGTAAGAAGGCTTAGGGTGCAAACAGGAAGCTGACAGTTATCTTTGCTTTATAGAATGATCTTGGAATAGTGAACAGTTTTAGTAGGCAAGATTAGCTCCAATAACACTTTACATAGTGATGAATGGCTAAATCATACTGATCAAGTCTACATCACTTGGACTTCAGGAAGTCGAGATGATGGCCATTCCAAGGGGAACAGTCAGGGTTAGAGAAAAGAGGATGGTAGTAAATTGGGAGTGAAGGTGCAATTAAGCAGATCAGTAGCAGCAGAAATGTCATGGTGACCTCATGGTCAAGGGGAGACATTTGGCATTTGGAAACTGCAGTTGCAAGTAAATTGGAGGAAGTGTTTTTCTAGATGTGGAGAAAGAAGGAAGTATAGTTGGAGTGCACAGGTGAATGTTGGTGAGAGTAACATACATATTAAAAAAAATCAGAGGCCTTTAAGTTTCAGTTCCATTTCTGACTGGATAAAGTGGATTTATTTTAATTAAGAATCCCTTGTTATTGCTGTGCTTTAGTTGAAAAACAAATGGTATAACCTAAATTGAATTTATAGTATTGCCTTTAAAGTAGAAAATGAGCCAAGGTGCTTCAGATACAGTGAACACGATTGGTTAAGCAAAGGTATTTCAGTGAATGGACGATCAAAGGTGAGCCAGCTGGAATTTCATAAGGGTATTTGTATGCGAGATAAAAACAGAAAATGCTAGAAATATTCAGCAAACCTGGTGTCAGCAGCACAGATACTGCCACATACGAGTGCTAACATTTTAATTTCCAATTTCCAGTATCCACTGAGCTATGTTCGAGTTGAAGATGAAATGGGCAGGGGAAAGAGGGTTTCTCCCAAAGACAAACACGAGGAAAAATAGTTGAAAGGGAATAAAGGAATGTGGGTGAGAGATAGTAGGAACTGCAGATGCTGGAGAATCTGAGATAACAAGGTGTAGAGCTGGATGAAAATAGCAGGCCAAGCAGCATCAGAGGAGCAGGAAGGCTGACGTTTCAGGCCTAGACCCTTCTTCAGAAAAGACCCTTCTAATATTGGTTGGAATGCTGTAGGACCATGGTTCTCAAACCTTGCAGGATAAATGGCTGAATGTACTTTATTGTCTTCAGCTTGCTGTGCAAACTTATGTTTAATTGAATTGCATTTAAGAACTTTCAAAACATTTATATAAAGGTACATAAAGTCTCTTTGCCTATATTGTTCCTGGTATACACCAGAACCAAAATTACTCAATCCTGTATTTTGTTAGTGGGATATTAAACTAAACAGTGGGAAACTAGCAGCAATCTAATGTAGGAATTTGAAATTTCTCTCAATTTATGAAATCAATTAAAATTTTAAACAAGGTCACAGTTCTAAATCTACCCCTGCAGATTATAAATAAAACAAACATGAGTTTTGATGACTCCCTTATATAATTTGGGATCCTTTTCAAAACAAGTGACATCTTCCATGACTGACCATTTTCCCTTTTCATTTACCAATGACCCTTTTGTACCCTTTGACACGACTGGCCACACTGTCCTTCTCCAACTCCTTTCCCTCATTACTTAGTTAAGCAGAATTTCACTCCATCATAAGAGTAGCCTGATCTTGCTTTCACAATCCCAAAGATCTATCTATCCTTGTTACCACATGCTCTTCTTTATCCACACACTGCTCCTCAACAACATCCAAAGACATTGGTTCAACTTCTACATGTACATCAAGAATACACTGCCCTTCCTCTCCCATCACCTCACTGATTCCCTTCTCTACTTGCGTATTGCTTGTCTTACGGAGTCTTAAATAAGCCTCAGTGCCTTCAGTTCAAGAGTGGACAGCTTGTCTCAGTGATGCTCAGGCAACACATTTTACGGCAACAACCAAAGATACAGTCTCTGGAGTAGAGGTTTTATGTTCCAAGTGAGATTCTGACAGGATGTTGCCATTAGTTTTGCATAAGGCGCTGAATACATTTCCATTGTAATTATACTGATTAAAACAGTGAATGTGACAAGTGTTATTCTAGTCAGTTTAGCTCCATGGACACAAAACTGACTTCATGTACATGTATTAGCAGCATCAGGATTTGCTATCAAATGGGTAATATGATCATAACACATCAAAATAAACAACTGAATGAGCATAAGACAAAAGTTGCTTGTGATTAATCTTATTTGCATACTCTGATGTCATTCAATTAACCATGAAAACAGAATACTTAGGCAGACAAAGTAGGAAAGGCCAATACTGAATCATTCACCAATATGGTGCAGTAACACCCTCAAAACATGACAGGGGAGACAGGAGGAAATGCACATATGCAAGCTCAAGCTGCCAGTACTTATTTATGATTTGTCGTACTTTGTATCACAATTCATTATGTCAAATATCCTGCCATGCAGCTCCTTTCACCAGAAACTATAACCACAATACATTTAATCACTTAGAGTACAAACATTAATAACGACGGTGTGGCCAAATATTCAATTCCGGTGGTAACGTTACGAAATGTTTATCTACTTTAACCGGAGTTTAAAGACAGCAGTCTAGAACTAGGTAAGCAATGTATATACCACAACGTTAACCGCTGGACAGTTACAGTTGGTCACTTTTGTCTCCTTTTCTGGTAGTTTGTGAGATATTGATTCCAGTGTGCACCGTGCCGTGGGGGTGGGGTGGACGTTTCTGCTCCAGGTACAAGTCGCCGTGATAAAGCGGGGTCTCCCTCCGGACTGAACCCGAACCAGCAGCAAGCTCAGAGAGAGGAACTGGGGCTTCATTCAAAACTTACCGCCTCTGTATCCATCGGAGCTGGCTATCCCAATAGCTGAGAGTTTAACAGTGCAGTAGGTGTTTACTCTGGGCTGGGGACAGACACTGAGTGCCCAGGACTGTCGGATTGCCAGGCGCTGTTTCCTCCTGTAAACCAGCGGGGAGGAATATTCACGCAGTACGTGTCTTGTGATTCTGGGCAATGCGCATCCAGCTGATTATCAGGTTGCAAACATTTATTCACTGCAGGGAAACTCCTGCTAAATTTCCATTTTCCTTTCCCTTGAAGACGCCAACTGTTTTTCTTTATTAACGTTGTCACTTTGAAAGACAAACGCCTTTCCAGGGAGGGTTTGAAAAAAATAACTTCTCATAAACTCCCTCCGCTTACGCTTTTCACTTCACTCGACCTCCGCCCGATTTTCGGAGCACACGTAGGCGAAGTCCCGGGGATTTTCCGCTGGCCAGGCAATGGTTGTTCCAGCAGAGAATGGGAGCTGTGACTGGGAAACCAGCCGAGCCAGACTCCGAAGGAATTTCCCGAGAAATTGAAGATTCCGCTCGGCAATTTCTCCACGCCTGGAACCCCCTGAAAACCTCAGTTCAACTCCGAGAATTCGGAGGGATTAAGTGAAACAGTCAGGCTTTTAAATATATAGTCTAACTCCTGAATAACTAACGAACAGATCTCATATTTACCTCTCTCACCCCTAATTATACCTCCCCCAGACCACACAACCCCTCTTTCCCCCTGCTTCAAACCAGACGCACTTCTTACCCCGATACAGAAATAGATCATTTGGCCCCTCGAGCCCACTTCCCTCCCCTTTCCCCTACTGACCAAGAATTTATCTACCTCAGCCTTAAATATACACAAGAGCTGTGCTCCTGCAGGTCTCTGTGGCAAGGAATTCCAAAGAGTCAGAACACTCCACACTCCAGTTCTTGACCCTTCCCCTACTCCAGACCAGATCGGAGTGACCCCACCACTCCAACTTGATCCCCCTTTCTCTGCTCCCAAACATGAACCATACCTGACCCAACACTCACCCACCTCAACACCTGCCCAATCCAAATTCTCCCACCCACTCCAACATACAATAAAAAGTGCATCAGTTACACATCTCCCTTTCTACCTTGCACCCTGGCACCTTTCCATCATGGCATCCTTTTCCTGAACCACTTGTCATCCTACCCACCTGGCACCCTACGTACACAACATCTAACCTCGTAGCTCCCTGTCTCCTACCTATCCAGTACCCTACTTATCTGGCACCTGGGGTAACATGGCGGCTCAGTGGTCAGCACTGCTGCCTCACAGCACCAAAAACCCAGGTTCAATTCCACCCTCAGCTGATTGTCTGTGTGGAGTTTGCACATTCTCCCCAGGTCTGTGTGGGTTTCCTCCGGGTGCTCTGGTTTCCTCCCACATCCAAAGATGTTCTGAGGAAAAGTCACCGGACCTAAAATGTTAACTCTTTTTTTTCTTCACAGATGCTGCCTGACCTGCTGAGCTTTTCCAGCAACTTTTGTTTTGTTTCCAAAGATGTGCAGTCTAGACGGATTGGCCATGCTAAATTATCCCGTAGTGTCTGAGGATGTGCAGGCTAGGTGGATTAGCCATGCAAAATGGGGGGTTGGGGGTTTATGGGGATAAGGTCTGCATCTGGGTTGGATGGTCTTTGGAGGGTCAGTGCAGGCTCAATGAGCCAAATGGCCTCTTTCCGCACAGCAGAGATTCTATGATTCGAGCCCTTCCGCACCCTAATCTTACACTTACCTTATGTTCTTACCATTTGACTGCAGTTGTTAAAGAAGCTGTCTGTGATTCTGGATCTTTCAATTTCAGATTCAGCAACTGACTACTGTGGAAACAGGATGTGGTTTGCCTCCCCGCAATAATTCTGCACAGTGAGAAAACTGACAGTACGGAACGTTGGTCAATGGAGCCAGGATTGGAATCTCCTGTCAGAAATGCAGACTTTTTTCTTTCGTTAAGAAAAAAGAGGAAGAGTGGCAATCTGCCTGAGTGGTTCTCTACCTCCATCTGCATGAGATTGCCACTCCACTGAAAATCTGACACAATCACTCAGAGTTTGGGATTGAGCTGGAGGTGGCTCCATGAAGAATCAAGGTCTTGGGATGGCAATATTTAGGCAATTTTATCATTAAATGAGTATTGGAAAAGAACTATCCTTAAAATAAGCCCGTGTAATGACCAGCTTCCGTGTGAGAGTCCCCATGTTATTTTGGTTCCAGATAGGCTACCCCAAACCGCCAAGTTCCTGGGTGAGGGGGAATGAACCCATTTTCCCTTTGTTCAACCATGCCCCTGAGTTGGTTGCAACAAAGTTGATTAAGAAGGAACCCCTTCCTTGTGGATGCCTTCCCCCCAGATCGAATGAATCTTTGTTTTGAAAGGAACAAATTTAACAGGCTTTCTTGAATTAACAAAAGGCTCAGGTTATTAGTTATTAAACACAAGAAAAATAACAACACAACTATGAGAAATAAGCACAGAGACTGTTGGAGAAATTCAGACAGCATCTGTGGAGAGATGAACAGAGTTAACATTCTGAATCCAGTATGACTCTTCTTCAGATCCAATAAATGTTGGTTAAATTTTTTTATTGTTTTGACTGAGGCAGAGAAAGGCTGAAGGGAACAGATGATCAGGAGGCCCAGTGCAAAAGATAAAGGGGTTGTTCCTGGTGATGAAAGAGTAAAACAGATATAAAATGGTTGTAAATTAAGGTGTGAAAGGGAGAGAATGGGTCCTCTCTACTGAAAGTAAACAAAATAAATTTGTTGGGGGTGTGGTGAGGGGCTGAGATGAAAGAAAAATGAAGAATAGATATTTTGTATCCATTTTCTAAAGCTATAGAATTCAATATTGAAGTCTAGAGAGGCCTGACTAGAACACACAAGCGCTTCAGCCCACGTGAGCAGGGTTGAAGCTCACATTTATCCCTTATCCCTGTGTATTCTTGAAAGGGAAACTGCAAACATGTCTCTTCCCTAGATTGCTATATTTTTCCTATCGTGTTCACAGTCTGAGAAACTCACAGGAGATTATAATTTAGTTTGTGGTGTATTTCTCCCTTTGAAGCTCCTGTGATACCGTGGGTGTGACATTCCAGAACTACTCTCTGGAAATCTGCAGTCATCTTTTGGCTCCATGTCTGCTTTTTAACAATATGTTTCCCATTAAAAGTTTGACATGGCTTAAGGTGATCCATAACATTTTTCCAGCATGATGAATAGACTTAGAGTCATTCTTATTTCAATACAAAAAGGGGAAAAGCAAAACAAAAAAAAACTTATACTCAAGCACACATCCATTCATGTAACCTATGTCAATTATATCTTTTCATTTATAAATGGCTCTTTTTTTTTAGGTTCTGAACAAAACATCTGCAATTACATTTGATTTCGTGGCAATATGAGTAATTTTGGATCTAAAACTTTTCCATAACAGTTAACCAGTTGTGGCCATTGTAGACTGTGGTCTTTCTGCCATTTCAGACATATTTCAAGTGTCTGAGAGCAAGTAATAAAGAGAGCTTACTTCTGTACTGTGCAGTACTATTTCTGATTTTTAAAATTTATTTTTGATTTGTCTTCATAAAGAAGAACAGCCTGTACCCTGGTGTCATTCACATTGATGGTTACTTTAAATGCTTGTTTAAATCTGGAACTGCAAGTACAGGCTCACTTATTAAAATGTCTTTCAACTTTTCAAAAACAGTATGCCATTTTGCAGTCAGTACTACCTTCAGTTTTGTTTCTATAGCAGATCTGTAAGTTGGGGCACTACTGAGCTGAAGATTGGGATGAACTTCCAGTGGAACCCACTTCTCATTCCCAATAACCTCATGGCTATCTGTTTTGTTGTGGGAATGAGGAACTGTGCTATCACTTACACCCAAGCAGCCCTGGGCAGAACTCATCTTTGACCCACTAGGTGTCCTTAAGTGACATAGGAGCTTTTCAAAAGTGGATTCTGTTTCTAGTGCCCATGCCCACTGATCTTCAGCAAATTTCTTAAGTCTCGCAAATTCCATGTATTACAGTTCAAGAGAATTCCAGAGAGTTGAGAATTTTTCATGGTAAATCTCTGACTCCAACTGTACAGACTTGGTGGGAGTAACTACAACTTTTTCTCAATTTTGAGCTGTAGTGTTCCTATCTCCACGTGGTGCTCTTGGAACAACAAGACACGGTGGGTTTGCACACCCTCATTAATCTACATTGGCAATCTGAGCACTTGCTAAACTAGTCCTGCCAATTGGCGAAAAATTTGAGTGAAATCCAGGCCAGTTGGGAGCTCTGCAGAGAACATTAAGGTTTTGAAAAGCAAATCAGAGGGTTTGTTTTGTGACCTAAGCTACCTGGACAGGATTCCACTGTAAACAATCCCATTTGTTAAGGTTTCAGTTGACGAACATCAAAAATGTAATATATTTATTATTGAAAATTGAACAAGATTTTACCTCAGAAGTTAACTGTGGATTTATTTATACATGCAGACTTTTAATGAGGACTATTTTACACATTTGGTAAGGCCCAGAAATATAACAGGAAAGGATAAAAGAGAGCTGGATGTTGGTAGGGGAACAGGGATTGGTACTTGTTGAAGGAAGTGAGCCTTGCCTTTTACAACTTGAGGGTGGGAAGTATACCCAACATGTTTGCAACCAGAAACAATGTAAAGCATTGGGAAGGCAGTACTTATGGCATTGAGGTGACGTTGGAGGCAGTTGTAGCCAGGTAATGGGAAAGGCAAAAAGAAATAGACTAGAGAATATCAAGATGAGAAATCCTCATGAGCAATTAGTCTGTGAGTTCAGGTTTGAGATTTACAACATCTTGAGAACATTTAAGTAACATGTGAGGAATAAGCATACAATTAGAAAGATTGTAGGAACTGCAACAATTAAAGCAGTTACAATGCTACTTCACATCCTACTGTAAATGTAAGGGTCTTCTAATCCTAGATGACAAATTTGGTTGTGAATTGTATGACTTGAAATACAAAACAAAAATAGGACTAGATCAATAATGAAATGCACAAGAATGTAGAGAGCAGGAAAACTACAAGAATAGAAAGTAATGATAAAGGCAGAGGAGAGCAGAAATCAATCTAGACTGATGAGGAGATATTACTGCTGTTAACATTAGGCAAACAGTACTAAGGATCTTGGAACATTAGCGTTATGATAGCAGCGATTTTGATAACAAAAAATAACAAATATCTGATAAAAGAAGAATAGTAGAATTTATTAAAAGATAGTGTCTGGTGGCACCTCCGTTATCAGATGTGGAAGAGAGAGATGAAGGAAAAGATGAAATAGAGAAAGAAGATAATCTCGATAATAGATTTGCTGGTGTAGATAGTGTTAGTGGTGGTGTAGATAGTGTAACAGGGATGAAAGAGGATAATGTAGTAGAATTATTAGAAAATGTAGAACAGATGATAAACTGCCAGAATAAAGATGATATTACAAATAAAATCATTAAATTGGCCAAACTGTTAATAAAGAAGAAATGTAACAAAGGCAAAATGCCTAATCAGCCAAAAATCAGATCAAAAATGGAGAGACTAATAATAGTTCTAGTTCTGGAACTAGAAAATGATATGCCACGAAGAAATCTATCTACAAAATAATGTAAACACAATTTTAAAAAATAATAAAAGTTCAATGTTAAGTTTCTTTAATCTA